TCGATTGGCCCGCAGAGAAGCAGGCTGAGCCGCAGCGAAGCAAGTTAGATTAGCTTCCTGCGTGCGAGGCCACCACCTCCATGCCGGAGCCTGCCATTTTTCCCCGACCTTCACACTGAGGTGTCGAGGTCGTGGGTCAGGCCTTTTTCAGCCCGTCTCTTCATCCCTGCCTCAGATTATTACGGTAATGTGGCGGGGCTGACTGAGCGTGGCTATAGGGCGATGCCCCGGGTTGAACAGACGCTAGCTAGCTATCTGTCCCCAGGCATGGCATCATCCTTAAAGGCTCCAGCACTGCCCTCCAAGCTGCTGCGTACAACATCAGCGCTGGTGGGCAAGGGGTACAAGGCAGCAGGTCAGGCGTGTCTGCACACAATGTTGGTGTTACAGGCATACCAGGCAGACCTGCTTAAAGAACTGGATGAGGGCGAGGAACTTAACTCTGATAACATCGCGGAGTTAAGAAGAAGCGCTGATCTCTGTCTCCGTGCCACCAAGGAGACCGCCCGCGCCATTGGGCGATCCATGGCAGCTATGGTGGCAGCAGAGAGACATCTGTGGTTGACCCTGTCTGATATGAAAGAGAAAGACAGGGTCTTCCTCCTCGACGCCCCGCTTGCGCCTTCTGGCCTGTTCGGCGACGGCGTCAATTCCGTCGTCGACAGGGACCAGGAGGCTCGTAAACAGGCGGCGGCATTTCAGCGCTTCCTCCCTCGCCACATCTCAGCTCTGGGGGCTGCTGGGCGGGATCAGTCCCCACCGCGTACCAGCTCCTCATATAGGGAGACTCAAAAACAGCCGGATCTGTGGACCATCCTTCAGGCTAAGAGGTCCTCGACCAAACGGTCCTGACTATTTGGGTGCAGGACTAGCGAGGGCAGGCCCTTCTGGGGAAGAAAGGTTCACACCGCATTACACAGTGCCCGTCTCCCCCCCAGTGTCATCGGGAGATTGTTCTGCCAACCCTGCCGGTGCTGCAGGGTGCAGCGGTCTCCAGTGAGCATATCTTTCAGTTACTGCCCGGCAACGTAGTGGCACTGAGAGGCTCGCGGCCTCTGCGGAGGTCCCCAGAGCAACTAGCCATTCTGGGCACACCAGAGATCAGTCTCGAGAGACTGATTCCCTTAGTAGATTATTTAGCAGTGAACCGCTCAGTCACAAATGTGTCTTAATGGGTCCTGCGGACTGTAGAGAGAGGCTACAGAATCCAGTTTGGTTCTCGTCCACCTCGATTCAACGGGGTCACCCCCACTCTAGTGGGTCCCGAGCAGGATCTGGTATTAGAACAAGAAGTAGTTACTCTCTTAAAGAAGGAGGCCAATCGAGGTGGTCCCTCCGCACGAGACAGACTCCGGGTTCTACTGTCGTTACTTCATTGTTACGAAGAAGGATGGGGGGTTGCGTCCTATTTTAGATCTGTGCCTATTGAACCGCTCAGTCATGCAACTGAAGTTCAGAATGCTCACATTCAAACAAGTCGTCTCTCAGATCAGGTCCGAGGACTGGTTTGTCACGATCGATCTAAAAGACGCATACTTCCATATCTCCATCCTTCCTCATCACAGGAAGTTCCTGAGGTTCGCTTTTGGGGGCAAAGCTTACCATTATCGTGTTCTTCCTTTCGGCCTTGCACTCTCACCCCGTACTTTCACGAAGTGTGTGGATGCCGCTCTGGCTCTGTTGCGACTCCAGGGCATCCGCATACTCAACTACATCGACGATTGGTTGATTTAAGCTCATTCAGAGCAGGTAACGGTTCAACATTGAGATGTCGTTCTCGCTCACATGAGAGAGTTGGGGTTAAGACTAAACGCCAAGAAGAGTGTGCTTTCTCCATTACAGAGGACCACCTATCTGAGCGTGGTGTGGGATTCGACCACGATGTAGGCACGTTTGTCCCCTGCTCGGATCGAGTCAATCCTCACTGCAGTCAAGAGAGTGAAGGCCAGTCACTCACTGTCAAGCAGTTTCAAAGACTGCTGGGTCTGATGGCAGCTGCGTCCAATGTGATTACTCTTGGTCTGCTGTACATAAGACCCCTACAGTGGTGGCTCAAGACCAGGGGGTTCTTCCCGAGGGGCGATGCCTACGTGCCTTAGACATGTGGAGGAAACCTTGGTTCTTGTCTCAGGGCCCGGTGCTGGGAGCTCCTTGTCGCCGCGTGACGCTAGCGATGGACAAGTGACAATTGACCGCACCCTCACCGGCTGGGGTGCGGTCATGAGTGGCCACCCTGCCCACGGCCTGTGGAGTGGTCGCCATCTGATGTGGCATATCAATTGTCTGGAGATGCTGGCCATGTTTCGAGCACTGTAACACTTTCTCCCAGACCTAAGAGGTCACCATGGGTTGGTGCGCACCGACAACACAGCGGTAGTCTCTTACATCAACCACCAGGGAGGTCTGCGTTCTCGCCCCTTGTACAAGTTGGGTACTCGCCCCTTGACCCTACCAGATCCTTGTGTGGTCCCAGGAGAAACTCCTCTCCCTGAGAGCAGTGCACATTCCTGGGCATCTCAGTGTGGGAGCAGACATCCTGTCGAGGCAGGGGGCGAGGTGGTGAAGCAGATATGGCCAGGCTCAGGTGGACCTGTTTGCGACTCAGATGACATCGCACTGTCCCCTTTGGTTCTCTCTGACTCATCCAGCTTCACTGGGGCTGGATGCCATGGTACAGACGTGACCGGACCTGATTTCCCTTCTCGACGGCTCTCCATGGGAGATTCCCGTCAGGAGGGACCTCCTCTCACAGTCGGAGCTGTGGAAGTTATGGGTGTGGCCCCTGAGGGGGCACAACTAGTAGATTCTGGTCTCTCAACTGAGGATGTTGAGACCATCCTCCAATCCAGAGCTCCCTCCACGAGGAAACTGTATGCCTTGAAGTGGAAACTTTTCACTTCCTGGTGTAGAGACCACCAGCTCAACACAGCTAACTGCCCAGTCGGTACAGTACTGGAGCTCCTGCAGGCCCGTTTCTCTTCAGGGTTAACCCACTCCACCATGAAGGTCTACGTGGCAGCCATTGTGGCCTACCACGCCCTCTCGGTGGCCAGTCAGTGGGAAGACACCCCCTGGTTACACGTTTCCTCCGCGGTGCGCAGAGGCTGAGGCCTCTTGTACGATCTCACATCCCCACATGGGACCTGGCAGTGGTGCTAGAAGCTCTCGGTAAGCCTCCATTCGAGCCTATTGAGGAGATTTCTGATCGCCACCTCACGATAAAGACTACCTTTCTTCTGACGATATTTTCCCTTAAGAGAGTTGGGGATTTGCAGGCCCCATCTGTGGCCCCTTCCTATCTTGATTTTGTGCCCAGTCTGGCCAAAGCGTTTCTGTACCCTCGAGTGGGGTATGTCCCTAAAGTCCCCTCATCTGCCTTCAGTCCTCCTCCCTTCAGGGCGCCAGACCAGCAGAAGCTTAATTGTATGTGTCCAGTGCGAGCACTGGACGCATACGTCCACAGAGCTGCCCTATGGAGGCCCTACAGAGCTGTCCTTTTTAGCAGGTGTTTCTATGCAGGACATCTGCAACGCAAGAGAGTTTCTCTCGTTGTGGCAGGCTTCCACACTAAGCAGAGATTTGAAAGTCTGGCGGCGTGGGCATTCTCGTTCCCGAAGCGTTTTCCAACACAGCTCGAGTTCCTGAAGTGGAACGACTCAGGTTACGTATGTAACCATGGTTCCTCGAGAGAACAAGATGCTGCGTCTCGGTGCCATACTTCCGGCATCCCTGCCAGCACTTGCTTCATTCCTGAAGCTGACGCCGGCTCCGCCACACATGCTTTTATAGCTTCCTGGTCATGACGTCACCCGCCCGTGATGTCCCGCTCAGCTATTGGACTGATTTCACATGTGATTCAGAGTAATTTCACAGAAGGCATTCCCGAAGCATTTTCCGACGCAGCGTCTCATTCCTCGAGGAACCATGGTTACATACGTAACCTGAGACAATTTCTCACAGATTACTAAGTCCTTCTCCATCAGCTCTCCACAATATCAGCCCTTCCAAAAGCTTCCACATCTCTCTCTCTCTCTTGTGTGGCACTTCTGCTCTCAGTCCTTTACTGCCAACTTCCTGTCTTAGCATGTCTACTTTATATATATACTGTATATATATATTCTTAATGAAAATAATAATTGTCTAAAATTATAATTGTTAACCATTTTAATTGGTCATGCATTTAGTCACAATAGAAGCAAACAATGATTACAGAATAATAATCGTAAAATATTGAAATGTTGTTCTTAATAATTTTTTGCCTATTTGTTTGTTAAAGGGAAGAAAATAATATATTTTCATCTGGAGCCTCGAAACTCCTGGTTTGTAAAATATTATTTGGCATCTCATGACATTTTTTGTAAACAAATTCTCTTTTTATTTTTGAATATTAGACAATGTTTTTTAAAGGGGTTTTATATTGCATATTTCTTAGTTACATATTTGTTTCCATGTACCCATTAATTACGACAAACTAAATAGAGAGAGTGCTGTTCTGGGCACTATGTTTGTATTGGAAAAGTCTGACATATTGGGAAATTTGTAAAAAAAAAAATTATTATTGTTTTATTTAAATTTTTTATATTCCTGTAGTTCAACTGGCAGAGCTAAGAATGGCAAGTTTGTAGGGTCCATTTCCAGGAAACATAAAAGTGATTAATTGTATACTTTTAATACACTATAAATACACTGTAAATGTTACAGAAGCAAAATTGAGTAGTAGAAAAATATTGTAGAAAAATATAGGTTTGTATATTGAGGTGTTTTTATTTTGTAAGCAAATGAAAGATTTTGACATTTATTACTTATTTTTCACATAGTATATACACACTTTTGAGTTTAAATATTGTACATTAATATAAGTGTAAACCATGTATATGATGGGAACCATTATGCCCTTGTTTGAAAAAAACAAAAAACACTCTAATCAACAATCAGAATCAGAATGAGTTTTATTGCCAGGTATGTTTACACATACGAGGAATTTGTTTTCATGACAGAAGCTCCACAGTGTAACAGAATGACAGTGACAGAACAAAAACACAGATAATAAAAAATAGAAAAATAGAACAAGTAAATAAGGAATAAAAATATACAAATCGACAATTGTATAACCACATGATGCAATCTGTTGTTGCAGTTTTATACTATGTGGAGACAAATAAATCTTTAACTGATTATCTGTCCACAAGAACCCGGAAGATCCTGTCATAGATGACCATATATGGACAAGTAAGTGTGATGCCTCTGCTCAACTGGGTTGCCATTGGCTTTGAAGTTCTCTTGGCACTCGCAGATTTCGCTGTGATTGTACTATCTTTTAACCCAAATTAAAAAATGCTTAATGTTGCAAAGTACGCTTTGCTGTTATTATTATGTCAGTAATACCTTTAGTTAACAATGCAGTGTTGCTATGTCGTGAGAAATTACCATTTTCCCGAGATCGCAACCCTAAACCTGAGCATAACTTCATTAAACTACAAATACCAGCACTGCATTCTATTGTTAGAATGGCAGAGGCTTATGGGTAATGTAGTTTAAAATGTTTAATAATAAAATGGTAAAAAATACAACCTTTTTTTAATAAAGGTATGTAGGATTCCGGCCTTCAAGATATTGAAACCCTTGAATCTATAAACAGACACAAACGAACATTGAATCTCTACATTCCACTGGGAAAACTAAAGGTTTTTCTCCCCAGCCATCTGCAGTCATAAAACTACGTACAGGGTCAGCTCAGGGTCTCAGCAGTTCCTGTCTCTCTCTGCTTATCTTTACAAGAAACAACAAGAACTGATCCTACCCCATCTGGATTCATTTAAGCAACAGAACGTCAGTAGGTTTCGTGACTGGCTTCAGCATAAATAAACCATCTAATGGACCACGGAACAAAGAGCCTGGTATCTAGACAGAATTCCAGTGACAGACACTCCCGGACCTCAGGACCGTTAACACATAAATTGCTAAATCTGATCAACAGAAAGTGGCAGATTAAGAACTCTCTCTGTCCAGGAGAAGCTTGGCAGACTCTCATGCTCTGACACGAGAATGACCTCCAGACATCTCCACTTTTCCCCCTTTGCATTCCAAAAAAAGGACGCACCCTTTTCTCTCTCCTCGGTCAGACAAAGGGACACGAAACTTACAACAGACAATTTCAACAGATAATAATTTATGCGCATAACAGGGCAACCAGATTCACAAATAATATGTTGTATGTCTTATATATATGCTTGACGTGTTTCATGTAATCGGTGCAAATTTAATCAGTGTTTTATTACCCTTTTTAGGAAATAAGGATATTAAAATGTGTGTAATGTGTGAAGTTTAGTATCGAATGGAAACTCGATTGCAGAATAGTGAAATAAGTGAAAAGCTGTTATTTCAAACAATATGTGTTGAACGACACTATATAGGAGTATTAACAAAACCTGCAAATCTTAATGTCTCCACATAATAATAACCAGTAACGGGGTTCCCCCAAAGACATCCAGGAAGCCCGCGTCAGCGACGAAATCACCTCAGCTTTCAGCTGTCAACTAAGCAAAACGCAAGTACAAACAAAATCTTCGATCTGCTGAACTGGTGAATTTAGATAAGTTCTCTCAGGTGAACCTACATCACTTGTGAAAACGAGGTAGAACTATGAAACTCCGTCAACTCACATCCTAAGAACCTGTACATGTGTGTGTGTATTTTTGTGTGTATTAGTTTAGTTTTATGTAATCTAGAATAGCCAATAAAATCCATGTTTCATTGATAAATAATCAATTGTCTGGTGTCATATAATTTCAAGGTTAAAACTTTGCCAAGATCAACGTTACCTCTCTCTTAAGAGCTGACAAATTATCATAAGTGTGTTGACCGTGGCCAGGAAAACACATATTTAATTTGTTAAAATATACTGAGAATCACCGACTCGCTGGACGACCCTTGATTTAAAGTGTAAACTATCAAATTTAGAATCAGTTTGAATCAGGTTGAATTAGTCTCTTCAGATCCTAGTCCTCTAAAACCTGAATTAATAATAATTAATTCCCTTACAACTGAGTTAAAATTCCTTACATCTGGTGGAGACAAATAAGCTGGCAAGATTTGACTGAAAAGTTAATGATACCAAGATAATATTATGAATTTGGTCTATTTTTATCCGGAAAAATAGAGTAAAAGATAGAAAAACTGAATTTGTTGTGTTATTTGGTTATGTTATTTTAGCACGGAAGAGTGTGTTGTTTGAATATGAAACTTGAGTTGTTCTTTAAAGAATTGAACTGCAGAAAAAAATTTTCATTTTGTCCAACGAGACAAAATAAGTCGCGTCAGAGCGCACAAGAAAGAAACGGGCGTTTTTCCCCATTTACTTTCTGTAAAAGGGCCTTCAGAGTGTGATTTGTATAAGTGCATTTTCCACTTCCAAATGCAGCTCTGCTATTATCTCCCCGGTTTGAGGAAATCAGAGTTGCTAACTGATAGTCCGCTGCCATTTAATTCACTAGAAACTAGTGGACTTGAAACGCGGTACTCAGAGAGTGTCCGAACGATATTTACTTTGGGAGAATTATGAAAGCTTGATCAAGTGAAATGTGGTTAAATCCACATGTGTTTTGTCTGTATAAATAGACATGTGCTGATATCCGCCGAAGATATCATTGACAGTTATTGTATTAATTGCAGTAAATCTGTACATTAATTCACCTCACTCTGAACGAGTTGAGTGTTACACAGCACTGTAAGATCAAAATCTAAATAGTGTTTTCTGTTTTTTCAGTGTGGAATGCGCCGTCATTCCCACTTGAAGGGCGTAAACTGTGTATAACTAGCAACTGTGTGTGATCGCAGGACAAGTAACCATAGTAACAGCCGTAACCCGGAAGTTTGGAGAAACCTTTTCCGGAGGGAACTTCCAGCGCCATATTGAGCTGTTTGTAAACAGATAGTCAAGCTAAGCTATTAGCATGGAAGGCTAGTGGTTAGCACATAGCATTTGTGGTCAAAGGCAAAGAGTTTTGCAGTGTTTGAGGTGACTCGATCAGTCACATCTGATTTCTTTCGCTATTTCACACTGATCTCATCCTACCTCTCTCACCTCTCTCTCTCCTCTTCTCCTCCCATTGAAAAGAACAGACAGATGCAAACTTTATAAACCTTATTGCAACGTGATTTTAACCAAACGTCAGATTAGCGATCTCACAAGTGGTTATAATCACGTTGGTTAAAAAGGGTTGGCTTCTTCCCTTCAGCGTGTTACTATATCAGTAAACTGCTACCGTTGTGTTGTTATTAACAATTAATCCTGGCCAGCCTAGGCCGTCTGACTTTAATGCTACGCTGTGCTTAATTCAGCTATAACGACTCTGGTAATTTTAGGGACATAAGTAAATATTATTAATTTGCTATACGTAAGGATTTGAAATTGTGAAGTACATTTAAGAATTAATTACAGATTTGGAATTTACATTCAATTTCCTAAATTAATTACAGATTTGGAATTTACATTTCAGTTCATAAATTAATAAATTAATTTGCTTCCACATGGCAATGGTGTTTACTGATGAAATTTGATTGTAGGCGCTTTTATAGTTTAAAGACAACAAGACAACAACATTAAGCTTTAAGGATAACAAGTTACTAATACTGATTTCACAATTAATTACATATTTGGAATTTTAATTTCATTTAATAAGTGATTACGGGTCCTGTTTCCATATTGCCACAATATTTGCTGATCAGTCAGCTATAATTGCGTTGCTAATTTTAATAACAAACATCATAAAATGTTTTAATCCTTAACCATCAATAAGGCAATACAATTTTAATTTCATGGTTAGCATTAGGGTTGAGTTATCCTGCTTCAAGATATAAATTGATTAATAGTAATTTTAATTACTCTCATCAATTTTAATGATAACATCATTAAATTTTAACCAGGAAATACCATTTCTAAACCGAAATTCTAATTTAATTAGCAATTGGCCCTCTTTTCCCTCTCCCTTTCGGTTATTTAATTTATTTAATACATTGGGAGAGCAAAACTTTCTCTCTCTTCTTCTGCTTCTCTCTCTCAGCTGTTTCCTTCTGAGTTGACTACTGCGGTTGTTTTGCTGGGATGTTGCCTGTAGAGAATTATGAGAAATTGAACAGGTATTTTGTGAAACTTGAGAACGCCGTTTCAAAATTGTCTTCCATTTACCTTTCACTTGCTTAAGAAACCCTACCTAGCTAAGAAGACTGACAGGCACCCGCCAAAATTGGAACAAGCATCCAGGAAAGAAAAATTGGTGAATGGTGTCAATCGTAACAGCTAAAAAACCCAATACTGTCATTTTTATTGTTTTTCCTTCACACGGAGGAATTTTAATAACAATCACAGTCCTGTGGTTTGTGGTATTAAGAAATCCCCATTCCCAAACGCCGGTTTAGAAGCATCCTTCTAAATCAAACTTAA